CCGAGGGCAGCTCCAGGGCGGAGCAGTTGGCCTGGCCCCCCGCCGAGCACGCGCACGCCTCAGGGCATTTGAGGATGCCTGGGGGCTCCCACAGCGTGACTCCAGTGGGCACGGCGGCCCAGGCTGGCCTCAGCGACAGTAGCAGCAGCAGCAACAGCTGCGGCGGAGGCCTCAAGAAAAAGGAGAGGCCCCGCATAGAGGCAGCTTTGGGACCCAAGGTGGGTCCTTGCTGCCGGTCTGTCCTTGGAGCCCAGGCGTCCCTACACTTGTCCCTGTGGTGCCTGCATAAACACTAACTGTCCAGCCTGATACCTGCCCTTCCTGTCCCACGGCTGGTCCTGCGCCCAGGGCGGGGGCCAGGCATGCAGCCAACGCCCAGCACTGCCAGCCACCTGTCCCACAGTGCCAGGCCCATGGTCTGCATTTCCTCTGTGGGGATGAGATCCCTGGAGCATTGTGAGGCTTGAGCAGCCAGGACCATGCCCACCCCCACAAGCCATTGTGGCCCGCGCACACCCAGTCCAGCTCCACTCTGGCAGGGCAAAGGTCCCACGTTAGGGGTGTGCCGGTCCCTCCCGGGGTGGATGGCCAGTGGGGCAAGAGCCTCACTAGCCTGAGCAGGGGGCCCAGGCCTGGGAGTGGAGGGGGCTCGTGCAGGGGAGAGGAGGTGTCTCCCACTCCCTGAAACCGTGCAGGGTGCAGTGAGTGTGGAGGGGACATCAGCCTGGGTGCTCCTGTCCCTGCTTCTCTTGTATCGGCAACTGTGAGCATCCTGTGTGAGGCTTCGATGGGGCCAGAGGCCCAGGAAGGCTGGGGCTTCTCTGGACAGAACAGCAGGGAGGAGCTGGGCCGGCCAACCAAGTGTGAGCACCAGGGGTGTGGGTCTCTGCCTGGGGCAGGGGCACTCCACTGTCTGCGTGCCGAGAGGGGCATATGGTTTGCAAGGAAGCGTACACAACCACTAAATAGTTTTCATTCCTGTACCCGCTACTCTGCTCTACAGAGTAGGGGACGAGGGTGGAGGAGAGGCTGGGCAGGGCTCCTCTAGGGCACCCTCCACGGGGACCTCCAGGCTGAGGCGGGACTCCATGTGAACCAAGTGCAGGTCCATGCAGTCCTCCTGGGCCCCGTCGTGCTCCACCAGCCTATGTGACAGGTTGGGGATAGCACTGGGGGCCGGTGCGCTCAATGCTGGTGAGCTGCCCGCCCAGTGATGGCATGGTTGGCACATCCTGCTCTGTGCCGACTCACCTGCTATCCATGTGTCTGGGGCAGGTCTCACTGGAGGGAAAAAGGTAGTGTGACTCCTAGCATTGCTGGCTCCATGAGCCCAGCAGTGCCCTTGCCACCCTCCCTGGTGCACACCTGGGAAATGTCATTGCCAGCCACTGGTGACAGCCCAGCCATGACCAAGGACCCAGGGCCAGCAGTGTGGCCTCCATCCTGCCTCACCGTTCCCCATCCTGAGCTCACGCACCCCTTGGCTCGCAAGACACCAATGGCCACTGTGACCAGGGCACAGAAGCAGCTGGCACTGACACCTGCCAGCAACAACGAGGGAGATGAGGGCTTCGCGGCTGAGGCCAAAGCTGCAGTCCCAGTCCCAGCTGAGGAGACAGGACCGTGAGACCAGGGGCTGTCACCCTTAGTGGAGGACCCCCAGGTCTGCCCTGCCCCAGTGGCCCCAAGGATGTGGGGGTGGCCCTGCCTGGGAAAGGGTGGGACCCTGTCTGAGGTGGGGGGGAACCATACCTGCAGCAGAGATGAGCAAGGACAAACTTATCAAGCCCAGGAGGCTGCCAGCCAGGCAGAAGTCGGGCTGGGGATGTAGGACCACGTCCAACTCCAGCCCCACCTACAGCTCTGGATGGAACTTGTAGGAAGGTGCTGACCTCACAGTGGGGCTGGGGTGGGCGGGGGCAGGGCTTCGCGGGCACAAGGCCGACTCAGGCCTCACTCACCCTGGGGCACTGGAGAGTCAGAAGAGGTCAGGGGGCAATGGCCACACCTGCCTGAGCAACATCTGCCCCCCCATGCCTCCAGAATACCCCTCTGGGAGCAGCTGCTCTGAAGGGGTTGCAGGTACCACCCACGGTCCTGGTCCAGCATTAAACTTGAAGTCCACCATACCAACTATCAGTTCTTCTGCCGAATGGGCAGCCAGTCTCCTTAGGCTAGCAAGGTCAGGGTTAACCTACCTGGGCCATGCTCCTGCACCTGTTTCAGGCTCGTCTGAGTCACCCCACCCTGCCTCCTCCTCAGGACCTGCCAAGCCCAGGTGGCACAGAGAGCAAATGCACCCCCAGGCCAGTGGGGCTCCAGACTTCTGCCACCTGAGCCTCACAGGGGGCACAGCCAGACCCTGAGGCCTCGGTCCCCAGAGCACCCTGCAGACAAACACAGGCCCCCTCCAGGCGTTATGGGGACAGACCAGCAGCCATGCTGTGACCCAGGACCTTCCCTGATCTTCAGGACACTTCCAAAGGAACACAGAACACAAGGTGTGCCCTCAGCCAGGGGCTGGCACTCCCACCCTGCCAGTCCAGTCCAGCAGGTTTACATCCTGGTTAGGACAAAGGCACACCCTGCAGGGGCCAGGTGGTGGCTACAGGTGGCAGGATCCAGACAGGGCCACCTTGTAGGGGGACGGTGGGTGTCAGAGCCTTGAGGTCATTGCTAGCTCTCAGGGGGACCCAGTATGACAGCAGCATCAGCACAGGCTTGCAGTCAGTGGGAGACACTGCCCCCTCCTGCACTAAGGCAAGGAGCAGGGAAAGGGGAGAGGAGATCCTGGCAGAGACTCTATCAGGACCTTGACAAATGCAGCACAGGCCACAGCTGGGCAGGGTCGTGGGGGTGGCCGTTCTGCACCCACAGCAGCAAATGTGAGGACACAGAAAGGGAACCTGGGGCCAAGGACACAGCTCAAGCTGGGCGTGGCTCAAGGCGAGGAATGCACCTCAGGCACAGCAGCAGAGGTTCCAAAGGGCTTTTGTCCCCCTTCAAAGACAGTGCCTCAGCCCAGACACGTCCTGCCTAGGAACAGCAGCTCCAGGACAGGTGGGGAAGAGGTCAGAACTGGCCTACGGCACTTCAAGTGTCAGGCCAGCGTGGAACCCCGGTGATGGCAGTGCTGGCACCTCCTGGACTGAGCCCGTCCCCAAGGTGTGGGCGAAGGCAGAGCTGGCTCCCCCAGCCCCGGGTTTGGAGGGATTGAGGGTCATCTGCCTTTCCTGACACAGTGTGGTACAAGACAGGTAGGCAAATACCCAGGCCCTCTGGCTGCCAGGCCACATTTACCGAGACCTGAAAGGCCTTTACCTTTACTCTCAAGGTTAGTGGAGTCCCCATGTCCTAGCAGCACCTGGCCTGGCCTGGCACCCAACAGGAGCCGAGGCGGAGAGGGAGAGATCCAAGGGCCAGGAAAGCAAGGGCTAGAGGCTAGTCAGGTAGCTATCAAGCCCATCACGGTCTCCTGACAGCCACCCCTTGCTCACCATGACCTGGGTCTTTAGGGTACAGACAGAGGACTCGGTAGGGCTGGCTGCACAGGTGTCCCCACCAGCTGTTGGGGGGGGGTCCAGGCCCTGTGGACCAAAGCAGAATGACCACTCCACAGGTAGACTCAGCGTGTGTGGGGCCTACACAGGCACCTAGACGCAGGAGGATGAACTGACCCTACTTTAATCTGAGCTCTGGGGGAAGAGGGGGTGCAAGGATGGAGGGAGGAGGGGAGGGCAGGGAGGGAACATGGGTGGGGCAGAGGGGGCACCCCCACCCCTCTGGGGTCACCCTGGGCAGGGCCCGGTGGGTGCTTGTCAGCTGCAGCTCTTGGGCAGGCGGTAGACACCAGCGGAGTAGATGAGTTGCTGGTCGCGCACCTTCTTCTGCAGGTAGCCCTGGAGCTCCTGCAGGTCGATCTCGGCCAGGGCAGGGCCTGTCATGACAAACATGCGCAGCATGCTGTAGATCCGCTCCAGGGAGAGGCTCTCCAGGTTGGTCAGCATGGCATGGATGTATGTCCAGAAGAGCTGCAGGGGCATAGCTGTGGATCAGGGGCTGCTCCTTCCGGCCCTCACCCGCCTGCCCACCCAGCAGACGCAGCAACTCACCAGCAGCTCCTCCTCCTTCTGGTCAGCCTGCGAGGCCATGCCTGAGTCACTCTCTTCATCACTGTCGATGAGCACCATGTTGTCACGGTCCTGCGGCCGCTCCTCCTCAATGACAGAGAAGGTGCCCGGGGGCTCCTCCCGCAGCACACCCTGCTGCAGCCACACAGACATGCGCCGCCGCAGCAGTGCCACCGGCATCTTCACCACCTTGCTCAGCTCTTCCAGGGTCCAGCTGGCTGTGGACACAGTATGGAGACGCTGGGGGAGCCACATGTGCCCACCTCCTGCCAGCCCTACTCTGAAGTCAGCAAGACCCACAGCATCCTGCCAGCCCTGGCAGAGGGAAAGGCCTGATGCCTGCACAGCCCAGGCTGCCCCAACCCTGTCCACATCTGGCCAGAGAGTTGGGCCTCGCATTGCGTGGTCGGGGTTGCTGGCTCACCCTGGTCCTGGAAGTACAGCAAGACCACTGCCTGCACGGGTGTCACTGCCACAGACAGAGTGCGGTCAGCTAGCTCCACATCCATGGTCACCAGGCCCAGGGTGTGCTTCCAGCTGAGAGTCCGCATGGCCTGTGGAGAACAGGGGTCAGCATGGGCAGCGCCAGGACCGGGAGACTTGGCATCAGTTGAGAAGGGGCTCCATCTCCTCAGCCACTGGGACAGAATGGAGGCCACTGCCATAAACTAGCTTGCACCAAAGGTCATGTCCATGTCTGAAGCCCTGGCACCTCCGAAGGTGATCCTGCTTGGCAAGAGATGGTCTGATGGGATCAGCTAACAGGAGCATGCTGAGGACTGGTGTCCCCAAAAGGAAAAGGACAAGATTAAAACGGGGGCATGGGAGGTGGTCACGTGATCCTGCCACATCCAGGAGAAAACAAAGAGTGCTGGGGGCAGGATCGCCCTCCCCGTATGAGGGAGCACAGCCCAACAGCTTTACATTGGGCTTCGGTCTCTGCACCTGAGACCTCACTTCTGTTCTTTCAAGCCATCTGGCTGGCAATGCTTTATGACAACAGTCATGAGGCAGGACAGACCCTGGTGCAGGTTCTGACAACTTGTTTCCCCAAAAATAAGACCTAACTAGGGATCAAAAGAGCTGGCCCTGGGCTGGGGATGTAGTTCAGGGCACCTTGTGCTTGCTCCTGAGTCTTGATTCCTGGTACTGAAAGAAAACAAAGAACGGCCCCAAACAGCCCGCCCTTGCCTTTTCTGCCCTTAAAGAGTACCCACTAAGCCAGAGAAGAGTTAGGTGTAATCTTCTGCATGAACTGGCCATCACTGTGTTAACTGGCTGTTAGTTGGTTTTCGTTTTTTTGTTTGTTTTTTGAGACAGGGTCTCACTATGTAGTTGAGACTGACCTGGCACTCACTCACTATGTAGCCCAGGCTGGTCTTGAACTCAGTGATCCTCCTGCCTCAGCCTCCCGAGTGCTGGGATTACAGGCGTGCGCCACCACACCTAGCAACAACTGGCTGTTAATTGCAGCTGAAGTTTCTTTTCTGGTTAGGTCTTATTTTCCGGGAAACATGGAAACTATGGATACAGCTTTGGACACAGGTAATGGGCAGAACCAAAACAGCAAGGGCACAATGGTGAAAGCCCAGAGTGTCCTGGAGAGAGAACTAGACAAACAGATGGCAAAGATGATGGAAGGTGAGGCCTGATGCTGCCTTGGAGAATAATATACTGAGAATACAGTGCTGGAGAAACAAGAACACGAGGTGCTCCTCCTGAGTGCTCAGGGGGAAACCAAGACTGCACTAGAGATTGGAGGAGAGACAGGAAAACTTTGCTAACAGGGTCTTCCTGGAGGCAGGAAGCCAGGACTTGCAAGTGATGAGCGTGACCTGGAGACTTCCAAGCAGAGTGTGGTACGTGCGGTGGGTTTTTCCTTGATGCTCAGAGGAAAGTGTGAGAGAAGAGACTGAGAAAGGACATGTTCAGTAAAAGGGAGCCATGACCTGGTGAGCAGGGAGCTCTGCAGACACAGCCAAGGAGGCCAGCTGGACAAGTGTCTGCTGAACAGGGGTGACTTGTGGGTCCAACCAGCCCCTGTGCAGCAACCAGAGCAGATGTGGTGTCCAGGAGCTGTCTGTGGAAGACCCTCCAGCCTGTCAGCCTGGACACTAAGCGCTTCAGAAGACAGCATGGCTTTTGAAAACTTTCTACCAGCAGCAACACTAACTCCCTGACTGAAAAAAGAAAAAGGAGAGGGCTAGGGATTTAGCTCAGTGGTGCCATATCTGCCTGGCAAGCACAAGGTCCTGGGTTCAATTCCTCCTACCAAAAAAAAAAAAAGAGAAAAAAAAGAAACTCAAGGTAAAAGCCAAAGGGATTTACTGCAGTGGTTCTGCCACCTGCCTCGCAAGTACAAGGTTCCAAGTTTGATTCCTGGTACCAAAAAAAAAAAGTTAAACTCAAGGGAAATTAAACGTTGAAGGACAGTCACAGATGCCCACATGATGCCAAAGAGCAGGACTGCAGGCCTCAGGACTTTGTGAGCCCCTTGCCAGATTCAGGCTTGCTTGGCATACACAACCCTTTGTTTCCGCCTTTGGAGATGAGTGTCAATCCTAGGCTGTCCCAACTTGCATTTGGGGAGTGAAAATCTGCCACGGGCGGCTTGGCCTGCAGGACAGGTCTCATCCATACCAGCCTGAGACAGTTCTGGGACTCAGGAGATGCTGAAAGGGCTGACTTTTGATTATTATATTTTTTTTCTTTCTTTTGGTATCAGACTTGGCACTTTCCGGGCAGGCGTAGCACCACTGAGCTACATCCTTGGCTGGGCTGAATGTACTTTACATGTGGGAGGCCATGAATTTGCAGGACCACAGAGGAGACTATCAGAGTTGTGTCCGCCAGACACACCTGCTTAAGTCATAACTCCAGTACCTGTCAGCGTCTTTGACCTGGGAAGGGAATCATCAAACACGGGGCTGTACTGGAATAGGGCAGGGGAAGGCCCTTAATCCAGGATGATCAGTGTCCTTGACACAGAAGAAATGCATCTTTCGGGACCCTGGGGCACTGGACATTGAAAGAGGCTGGAAAGATCATCCCCAAGAGCCTTGGAGGAAGTGTGGCCT